GGCAAGGCTATCCTGAGCTATTTGGCAAAATCTTGTCTGGAAAGATGGAGGCGGGAAAGAGGAGAAATAACGCCAGGGAGAATACACTTAACTCTAGAGGCTGAGGCAGAAGGACTGAGAGTTGTAAACGATCTGGCTATGTGGTGAGACTTTCTAAGAAAGGGAAGAAAGAAGGAGGGAAGAGAAAGGAGGAGGGAAGGAGCAAGCAGAGGGAAACACAGTTCAGTGGTTAGAAGCACTGGCTTCTTCTCCAGAGGACTAGGGTTCAATTCCCAGTGCCCACATGGTGGGTCACAGCCATCTGCTTAATCCCAGCACTTGGGAGTCAGAGGCAGATCTCTGCGAGTTCAGGGCCAGCCTGTCTGTGTACGTTCCCAGCCAGGAACAGACGAAAGACACGAGGAGGCCCTGTAACGAGTAAGACACCTAGGACAAATAAACATGTGAGAAAGATTCACCATTATGACCATTAGAGAAGCACATGTTAAACGTGGTGAGCTGTCACTGCACGTACTCACAGTGATGGCAGGACCGTAAAGTGTTCTGCCAACTCTGGAAAGCTGTCAGTTTCTTTTATTATTGTTGTTGTTGTTTTTCTGTTTTTCTTTTTTTCCAGACACGGTTTCTCTATATTGTTTTGGAGGCTGTTCTGGAACTCGCTCAGTAAACCAGTCTGACCTTGAACTCATAGAGATCCGCCTGCCTCTGCCTCCCAAGTGCTGGGATTAAAGGCATTTGCCATCAACACCTGGCTTTCTCTCTTTCTTTCTTTCTTTTTTGGGGGGGATATTTTGGTTTTTCAAGATAGGTTTTCTCTTTGTAGCCGTGGCTGTCCTGGAACTTACTCTGTAGACCAGGCTAGCTTCAAACTCACAGAGATCCACCTGCCTCTGCCTCTCGAGTACAGGGATTAAAGGCATCACTACCACACCTGACTCAGTTTCTTTCTTTTTAAACGCATTTCTTGGAGCTGGATTGATGGCTCAGAGGTTAAGAGCACTGACTGCTCTTGAACACTGACTGCTCTTGATTCCCAAGAACTCTCCTAGAAGTCCTGAGTTCAAGTCCCAGGAACCACGTGGTGGCTCACAGCCATCTGTAATAGGATCTGATGCCCTCTTCTGGTCTGCAGGTACACATGCAGACCATTCATATTCATAAAATACAAATGCAATAAAATGTTTTTAAAAGAAGCATTTCTTCTTTAATTATGTTATATGTGTCTGTGTGTGGGCATGCGAGTCCTGTGCCTGTGGAGGCCAGAAGAGGGTGTCTATTATCGAAAGCTGGAGTTAAAGACAGTTGTGAGCTGCCCACCATGGATTCTGGGAACCAAACTCCAGTCCTCTGAAAGAGCAGTATCACTCTTAAGAGCTAAACCAACTCTCTAGTCCCAAAATAGGACCCAGAAATTGTGGCCAGCCAGTTGTCGGAGTGAACGAGATAAAGCAAAAAAAAAAAAAAAAAAAAAAAAAAAACAGTATGTGTATAAGCTACAGACACCAACATTCTTTCCAGGTCAGCAGCCACGGCTCTCACCTCCTCCAAGGTGCCCATCCCTGGTATCTTCCAGCCGGTTCACATAGTGTACCTGTATCCAAGCCAACTGGCTAGTTTATAAATTGATGAAATGTGGCATTCCTGAAGGAAGGGGCACCAATAAGCAACACTGAGATTCTGACTACCATATCCTCAGCTCCTAGATACAGAGGTCTGAACAAGGGATGAAAGCATAAATGGGTTATCAAAATGTCTCACTGGGCTGGGTGTAGTGGCGCACACCTTTAATCCCAGCACTCAGGAGAAAGAGGCAGGAAGATCTCTGTGAGTTCAAGGCCAGCCTAGTCTACAGAGCGAGTTCCAGGACAGCCAGAGCTACATAGTGAGACCCAATCTCAAAACAAACAAACAAAAAATGTATCGCTGATAAACGGTACTTGCTATGCAAGCTGGAAGAACTGAATTTGATCCCTGAACTCATAGAAAGGTGGGAGGAGAGAACTGATTCTACACAGTTGTCCTCTGCCTTTATATGTGTGCTGTGACTTGTGGGTGCATGCACACACACACAGACATAGTAATAAATACATATCGCTAAAAGTATAAATGTAAGCAGGTGGATCTCTTCGAGTTCCAGGCCAGCCTGATCTACAGAGCAAGTTCTAGGACAGCCAAAACTACACAGAGAAACCCTGTCTTGGGAAACGAAACAAAACAAAACAAAACAAAAAGTATAAATGTGGGGGCTGGAGAAATGGCTCTGAAGTTAAGAGCACTGACTGCTCTTCCAGAGGACCTGGATTTAATCCCCAGCACCCATGTGGCAGTTCACAACTGTCTGTAGGTCCAGATCCAGGAGATCCAGCATACATGCAAGCAAAATACCAGTGAACATAAAAAAAAGAAGTGATTTTTGAAAGTATAAACATGGCCGGGCGTTGGTGGCGAATGCCTTTAATCCCAGTACTCGGGAGGCAGAGGCAGGAGGATCTCTGTGAGTTCGAGACCAGCCTGGTCTACAGAGCGAGTTCCAGGACAGCCTCCAAAGCTACAGAGAAACCCTGTCTCGAAAAAATATATATATATATAATATTTCTGTTTTGCTCAGGCTGGTATGGAACTCCCATCTCAGGCTACAGAATAACTAAGGCTACAGGCACATGCCACATTGCCTGGCTCTTGGCAATTGTTTTTTGTTTGTTTTTAAATCACGTGCTGGGGTTAAAGATGTGTGCAACTGCACCAGCCTGGGTGATGTGTCTTTTTGCTGTGCCTTATATCTGAAAAGTGATAGCAACACAGTCGGATAAACCAACATCCTCAAGGGTCCATCATCGCAGCTTCCATGCTACCTTCTGACTCACCTCTTGATACTCCCTTGTTTTTCTGTGTAGCAAACGATATAAGTGGCGAGCCTACGAATGAGCTACATTTAGCTTGTATCTACCCCTTGTCCAGTTGTCAGCAGCGGGAGGCAAGCTCACGTCCATGATACCCTTCTGAGTAGGTAGGATCTTCCCGTCATTAAATGGGGCAGTGGCTCAACAGACATAATGGCAGACTTTCTGCCACAGATGACAAAGCCAGGCTTGTAAAATCAGAAACATCTCCAGAGGAGCTGGAACTTGCCAGGTATGTGAAAGCTAGGAAGAAGGTAATGAGTGAAAGAAAGCTCAAGTACAGGGGAGAGCGATGGGGGGGGGGGCACCATACAAGGGGTTAAGCAAGCAGGCAGGCAAGACTCAGACCTTGCAAGGCCCTGAAGGCCATGTTAGGCCCTCGATGGCCTCCTGAGAGGTGTCAGCAGCCATCGTAAGCTCAAGCAGTTGACAGATTAGCACACTTGCAGTTCTCCCATGGAAAATAGAAGGGAAGTTAGAAATTTCAGAGATCAACCAGAAGGCTACTGCAGGAAAGAAGAAGATAGGGCCAGCTGGGGGCAGGAGTGGGGTGTGGGGTGTGGGGTGGAGAGGTGTGAAAGAAGCCAGAATTAAATCAGCAAGTCTTGATAATGGGTAGAATCCAAAGGAGTGTTTAGAATGATCAGGTACATGAGTAGTTGTGGACAACAGAGAAGGAGTGCTTGCTACCTTTCTGTGGATTCGTTTGTTTTGAGATAAAGTCTCAGCATAAGGCCCAGACTGGCCCTGAACTCGTGATCTTTATGCCTCTCATTCCCCAGGACTAGGAGTATAGACAGACCTGCACCTTCATGGCTAACAAAGCTATTTAGACAATGAAGTCAATTTTTGATATTATTAGTTTCAGTTTTAGTTGGGTTTTGTTGTTGTTGTTTTCTTTTTAATGAGAAGGTTCTTCCTTTGTAGTCCAAGCTGGCTTCAAACTCATGATCTTTCTATCTGAACCTCTCAATGAGGTTCACTGATGCTGTACTTGTAGAACATATGAGAAGAGAGTCCAAGAGACAATCAGACATAAGTCTCTAGACCTCATGAAAAAGGGTCTACTGGGGTCTGGAGAGATGGCTCAGAGGTTAAGAACACTAGCTGCTTCTCCAGAGGACCCAGGTTCAATTCCCAGCACCTACATGGCAGCTCACAACTGTCTGTAACTCCAGTTCCAGGGGACCTGACATCCATGGCAAAACACCAATGCACGTAAGAGAAAAAAATACATTTAAAAAACAAACAAAAATTGTAAAAACCAAACAAAGGGGTGATTAAAGTTGCAGCAAAGTGTGTTCCAGGCACTTGTGGAAAGCCCAAGAATGCTCTGGAAATAGGTTTACTACTTCAGAAAGGTAGAGGAAGAGGGAGCCGCAAAGGAGTGTGAGAAGGACCATCCACACAAGCAAGAGGAAAATCAAGAAAATGAGTGTCACTTGCCATGTGACCAGGAGGGAGTAGCCCTGAGTATGGAAGCTGCAAAAACAGTGTAGAGTACTAGTCAGGTGCCAGTGGGGGCCAGCAGTCCCAGGTGGGGAGGGGGTCAGTCTAGGGCTAGGAAAGGTGATAGTGGGGTAAGGAAGCAGTGAAGGAAACTTAGGCATCTCTTAGAATAGCTATGGAGGAGAAAGGGTAGCATGTGGAGAGGCTTTGGAAGCTGCACAAAGGTGGAGGTTGGAGAGTCTCTAGATCTCCCAGGGTGGAAGGAAAGGGAGAGGAAAACCAGATGAGGGCTCTGTGGAAAGCTGTGGAGAGAAGTGATAAGGGCCTAGGCCCGGGAGGGAGGGAGACTGTTCCCTGGGTCACAGGAGTTGGTTATCAGGTTGTCATTTCCTCCCCGTTTCTATCTCCTTCCTGCTCTTGGCCTGGCTCTCCTTGGAGCTGGAAAAGAGAAGGACCAAGTCACACCCTGGGAGAAGCTCTGTGCCTTTGGAGGTCTTTCTGCCCGACTGTAAGTGGGGCTGGGGCAGAGAAGGATCTGAGCAGGGAACAAGAACCAAGGACAGAAGATAGGGTAGAAGAGAAGGGAACAGTCTGGGAGGCATCAAAGCTGTTTGTGGAAGGGATCCTGAGAGTTACAGCAGTGGAGGGCTGGAGCTTAGGAAGATTATGCAAGGGCCAGGGCAGCATCTCTTTAAACTCCCTTTGCCCACAGGTTCATATGGCTCTCCTCATCTTGCTGTTCCTGCTGCCAAGTTCCTTACATTCCCAGCCCACTTGTGATATCTCTCAAGTGACCAGCTTGCGGGAAGTAAACTGTGAGAACCAGAAGCTTACGGCATTGCCTGCAGACCTGCCAGCAGACACAGGCATCCTCCACCTGAGCAAGAACAAACTAGGTAACTTCTCCACAGCATCCCTGGTGCATTTCACCAGCCTCACTCAACTGTACCTGGAGAACTGTGAGCTGACCAGCCTGCAGACCCCTGAGAAACTGCTGAAGCTGGATACCCTGGATTTATCCCACAATAACCTGCAGAGCCTGCCCTTCCTAGGACGGGCACTGCCTGCACTCACTACCCTTGACATATCCTTCAATCAGTTGGGCTCACTGTCTCCTGGTGTCCTGGAAGGCCTAAGTCAACTCCAGGAGCTCTACCTGCAGAACAATAATCTGAAGAGTCTGCCCCCTGGGCTCTTGGTGTCTGTAACCAATTTGAAGAAACTCAATCTGGCCAACAACAAACTACGTGAGCTGCCCCCTGGGCTCCTAGATGGGTTGGAAATGCTTAACACCCTCTACCTCCAAGGGAATTGGCTTCGTACAATACCAAAAGGCTTCTTTGGAACCCTCCTCTTGCCTTTTGTTTTTCTCCATGCCAACACCTGGTATTGTGACTGTGAAATCCTCTACCTTCGTCACTGGCTCCAGCAAAACCCCAACAATGTCTACCTATGGAAGAAAGATGTGGATGTCAGGGCCATGACCCCTAATGTGGCCAGTGTAAGATGTGCCAATCTGGGCAATGCACCTGTCTACTCCTACCCAGGGAAGGACTGCCCTAGCAGTGGTGATAGCAATACCATGGATTATGATGACTATGACAGTTTCTCTGATGTACCTACTACAAGGGCTGTGGCCAATTTCTCTACCAACACTGAAGCCCATACTACCCACGGGGACCTACTCTTAGAGTCTCCTACTTCTTCAGACAGTCAAATGCCTTCTTGGTCTCCAACCCACAAACCCACTGAGAGACAGCCCACATCCACCCACATCCAGATCCCACATTTTACCACGTTCAAACAGACCGTGAAATCTAACACACGCCTTTATAGTCTAAAATTCAATATTATAGCTACCAGGATCCCAATCACCCTAGATCTTACCTCTACCCTGACTTCCTCAGAGCCCAGCCCTACTCCCCTGGTGCCTATCGCTTACACCCTGGCTCCCCCAGAGCCCAGCACCAACCCAGTTCCTACTACTGCTGCCCTGACTCCCCCAGAGCCCAGCACCAACCCAGTTCCTAGTACTGCTGCCCTGACTACCCCAGAGCCCAGCACCAACCCAGTTCCTACTACTGCTGCCCTGACTACCCCAGAGCCCAGTAGCACTACCCTAACCACCCGAAAACCCATCACCACCCCAACCAATCCAGTGTCTACTATCACCCCAGTGTTCACTACCACCCTGACCACCCCAGCATCTACCCCAACTGAGACCATTTCAGAACTACTTTTTAGCACAGAATCCACTTTACCGCCTATCTCAGAATCCACCACAAGGATCCCAGAGTTGAACAGCCTCCTAACTTTCCAAGAGCTGGTTCAAGCAAATTCTGATACTTCCCAAAGTGACCCTCTTCTCAGTTCTGACTTTTGCTGCCTCCTCCCCCTGGGCTTCTATATTCTGGGTCTCCTCTGGCTCCTATTTGCCTCTGTGATACTCATTTTGCTGCTGACCTGGATCTGGCATGTAAAACCACAAACTCTGGACTTGAGCCAGTCCGCGGCTTTGGCCACAAGCACGCATACCGCAAGTCTGGAGGTGCAGAGGGCGAGGCAAGTAACTGTACCCCGGGCCTGGCTGCTCTTCCTTCAAGGGTCACTCCCTACTTTCCGTTCTAGCCTTTTCCTATGGGTAAGGCCTAATGGGCATGTTGGGCCTCTGGCAGCGGGACGGCGGCCCTCAGCTCTGAGTCAGGGCCGTGGTGAGGACCTATTGGGAACAGTGGGCATTAAGTACTCAGGCCACAGTCTGTGAAGGTGGGTACTTTGGAGATACTGGGAAAGATTCCAGTGGACTCTTCTGGGAACTAGCTGGGGTGGGGGATGAGACTACCACAGGGACATTCGATTTACTTCTTTATCTGAAGGCCCCTCTTTACATTCAGACCTCAAATCAAGGGAGATGGTGAGGTGACATAATCAGGCAGTCACAGAACCAAGCTCCCCATGTTACTTAGAGCATTGAGAGGCCACATGACCATTTTGGGGAAGAGATAGAAGAAGCAAATAAAGGGGCTGGAGAGATGGCTCAGCGGTTAAGAGTATTGATTGCTCTTCCAAGAGGACCCTGGATCAATTCCCAGCACCCACATGGCAACTCACAACTGTCTGGGGACCTGACACCCTCACACAGACATACACACAGGCAAAACACCATTGCACATAAAATAAAAAAAAAAAGAAAAAGCAAATAGAAATGGAGCATGGCTCCCGTATGTTCACACATGGATGGAAACTCGGAGCGTCACTAATCAAGACAGGAGCACTATCCCAAGTATCATGAGCAGATTTTCTGTTTAATGTTTCCTTGTCTTCCCCCAGGGTTATCCGTATAATAAAAATGTTTTGAAAAAGAAAATGTAGCTTTCTTTGGGAGATGAGAATGGCTGAAGCACCTGTTATAAGAATTCCCAAGGTCCTAACTGACCCCACCCTGATCACAAATACCCAACACACCTCCAGTTGTAGCAGAGGGCGGGTGGGTAGGACACAGGGGTACTTCCCACACCTTAACATTCTTCTCCTGCAGGGTTTGAGTATCCCCAGGCTGCCTTAAACATCAACTTCAGAATAGAACAATGTCCTAGAACGGAGAGAGTGCTACAGCCTGCCTGCCTGCAGCTGGGTAGCAGAGGTGGGTACAGTCCTCACACCCACTGCCTCCAGAACTCTCCTCTCCTCACTGGCCAGGTCAAGACTGGAAAAGGGTGTGTCACCCTGGTGGGTTTGACTGAGAAGTCTTAGGTCTGCTGTTTTCAAAGCTGGATGTATCAGGGTCCTCCTCTCCGAATTCACTGATTGTGCCATTTGCTAATTCTCCAGTGAGGCCTTCTTCTATGCCTCATCTCAGTTCAATCCAGGGCTTAGGGCTCAGATAAGGGAAGGAGGGCTGCATCTTCCTGGTTCTACAGATCACCCTTCTCCAAATGGCTCTAGATCTTCCTGTGAATGTGACTGAATCTCCTTCCTGCCTTGAAGTCTTCCAGGCAGAGGACAAACCTTAGAGGTTAGCCATTAAGGACTTTTCTTCACAAACTCCACCTCCCAGTCCAGTCCAGCTCATCTCCATGGCAGTGTGCTCAAACCACTGCACATCTCAGTCCCCGGAGCCAGCATCCCTCCTGAGACTGTCCTCACTCCAGCTAAGAGCTGTTTCTGCTCTCCTCTTTCTATCTGACGGGTACCACAGACAAGTCTGGAGTTCACTGCTACAGACATTTCCAAATGTTTCTCTCCTCTTTTTTAGTTTGCTTTTTTTTTTTTTTTTTTGGAGACAGGGTTTCTCTGTGTGTAGCTTTGGCTGTCCTGGAACTTGTTCTGTAGACCAGGCTGGCCTCGAACTCACAGAGATTCACCTGCCTCTGCCTCCCAAGTGCTGGGATTAAATGCATGTGCCACCATGCCCAACCTTCTGTCATCTTCTTGCTGGACTTAAACTCCTTAAGAAAAGGTGTAGGCTTCAAATGTCTCCAAGTAGCCACTACCGGTGGCCAGGACACAATGTGCATGGAAGAATTAAGGAAAGGAGCAGCAGGGACACCAGGATGCCGCACGCCATCTTTTTGTGTTGAGACTCTGCCAAAGGGATAGCTCACACCTGCTGCCTGCCTGTTCTCCGGCCTGGCATGCAACCCTTAGGCTGCCTAGCACTCCTCCCAGTTGACCTTCCCTGTATCCTTTAAGGTCCAAGAAGTTTGTAGGATCCTTGAGGGCCTGGGAATCATACTTCAGAAATGGATGAAAAAAAAGATCACTTTTCCCAGCCAACCCAGTTTCTGACCAATAGTCTTTTTTTTTTTTCCCTCAATCCTTGGGTTTGACTCCACTGTGTACCGAGAGCTCTGGACTGCTCTTTTAACGACTGTAGCTCCAACCAACAGAAGTCCAACTTACATTTTTTTTCCTATTTTTCAAGACAGGGTTTGTCTGTGTAGCCCTGGCTGTCCTGAAACTCACTTTGTAGACCAGGCTGATCTCATAGGAGAAATCTGGCTGCCTCTGTCTCCTGGGTGCTGAGGTTAAAGGCGTGTGCTACCACATCCCACCTGCCTCAATTCAGACTCATTACCCCCTCCCTATGCTGCAAAGGCAGCCATGAGATCCCAGAGGCTTTTCTGAGAATGTGTCATGATTTGTGAGCACTGCATTTTCAGGCAAATGGATTGCAAGCAGTGCACAGGCCCAGATTTCTTTGTGTCAGATGCTGAGGTAGGACTTATTTACATAGTATTTTCATAAAACCAGTAGGTGATTTTCTTTAATGGTTTTTGTTAAAAACTCCAGTTTGTTTTCCAGAGATACCAGCTTCTTTGTGCAGTTAGCTCCCACTAGGATCCTCAAGACTATCCAGATTTGGGGTTGGTGTTATCAATCCAATTTATTAATTACGTCCTTGGGGAGGAGGAAGTCACATCCCTCCACCACAGACCCTTTTGGCCATCTAGATAGCTTCTGCTCGCTCCTGTCTCCTCTGGTTTCTCCAGAGAGAGAGAGAGAGAGAGGGAGGTCTGCTGTCTTGTGTGCCCTGAAACTAATACCCAAGAGGTGACTATCAATCCTCAGGGAAGTTTCTCAGGTCCTCCTAGGAATAGCCAGTGACAGAATGATCCTAAGCATCGGGCTGGGCACAGCAAGCTAGAGCAGGGGTCGAATAGGTTAAAGTTCTTTACCGCAAAGGAGTAAAACACACTGTAGAGGGAAAATAAATAAATCCAGTAGCCCAGGGCACTTCACTGTTGGAACAGCGGGTGACCTGGGGACCCTGGCACTCTAGTCCCAGGACCTTGCCACATCAGCCACTGAGGAAGAGACGCTTGTAGGCCTTGTTCATCTGTTCCAAGAAGATGAAGGTGAGGACAGTGTGGGGGCCCAGTCGGGCATAGTATGGTGTGAAGCCCTTCCACAGGCTGAAGAAACCCTCATAGCGGACGACTTTCATCAGCACATCCTAGACAGACAGGCAGGCAAGTGCTGGGGCTAGGATTTGGCCTCTAGGACTCTGTCCCCTATGCCCAGCTCCCTTCCTATCCCTCCCAGGGCACCCAACACACTCTGACCCAAGCTCGCCCTCCCTGTCTCCTCACCAGCCCATTCTTGTACTCTGGCTTCCCATCGATCATTCTCATATTTTGGATCCTGAAAGAGAGAAAGTATGTGAATGCAAGGCAGAAAGACAGCCCTCCCGAAGCTCTCCAGTCCCAAGCTACAGACTCACCTGGTTTTGACAATGTCCACGGGCATGGAAGCAGCGGTGGTGACGAGGCCACTGATCATGCTGGCACAGAAGTGGCACAGGATATTGTCAGAGAAGTAGCCTGGGAGGTGAAGCAGAAGGTGGCAGTCAACGCTCAGGAGGCTCGGGCCAGGCTGGGCATCCAGTCCTCAGCTCCGGGTCTCTCACCTGAGTCCAGCAAGAACTGCTTGGACTGGGAGTAGGAGGCAAGCTGGGCAGCATTGACGACGACAGCTCGAGCCATGGTAGGGATGCAGCCCTGGAGAGTGGAGGTAATGAAGAGAGAGTCAAAGCTGCCAGAGACCTAACCCCACGCCCCAAGACTTCGCCCCCTCTGCTCACCCGCCACAGTGTTGGGACTCCCTCTTCCCTGGCAATTCGAATTAGGGCATTAAACACGTTTTTGTAGCCACGGCGCTGGTCAGCTGGAAGCCTGGGGAAAGCGCGGGGGGGGGAAAAGGCAAGATCAGGATGGCTCAGGGTTCATAGGAACAAAGAGGGCCTCAGTAGGTAAGTGCCCTGCCATAGGTCTCCCCTGACAAAAAACGTGTAAAACCTAGTCCTTTCATTCTAGACTCCAAGGATGGGGCTGGAGTTAGGCTCAGACCTGGAACTCACCGGCCATCAGCAGTCATCCTGATAAGAGCCACCTCAGCCGGCGTTCCCACAAACGCCCCAGTTGCACCTGCAGTCATGCCAATCAGGGCTTTCAGCAGGAAGCCAGGGGGTGTACCATCAGCCCCAGTCAGGCGCTCAAACAACACAGTGTAGATGCCAAGCCGGGTGGTGGTGTAGGTGGCCTGGCGCAGCAGGCCAGCCGACAGCCTGAGGAGCAGAAAGGTCAGCACAGCCCAGCAGGCCAAGGTCTAGACCTGCCAACCCACAGCCTCCCTTCCCAGCTGGAGGAGGCCCCAGTACCCAGTATAAATGCCCTTCAGTCCTTCTGCCTTCAGGATGCTGGTGAGGGCATGGAAGCTGGTTTTGTACTCTCGAGTCTTGGCCCCTTCACCACTCAACTGCATCCGGTTCTTCACCAAGTCCAGAGGCTGCACAAAAACTGTAGCACCCATCCTGAAGCAAGGCAGGAAAAGGAATCAGAGCTCAGTTGTTCCAGCTCCATTAGTGTCTACTGCATCCCCGCAGCAGAAAGTTACAAAGGTCAGGGCCTGATGCGCAGTTAAGGATTCAGGAGGCTGGTGGGCATGTGTGTCAGTGTGTGCACGGACGGCCATGTGCCAGAAAAAAAGTCCAGTGGTCCAGTAAAGACCATGCAAACCAAAATACTTCAGTTCCTTAGAGTTCAAGTAGAATTAGATTACAGGCAGTCTAAGGAGGGGTGGAGAGGGCATCCATACCCTAGGACAACAATCGGTCCTCTAACGAAGCGTTTAATAACCACACAAACAGGCACAGTGAAGCAATGGTGGTGGAAACACGCGGGGCAATGACTCTCGAGTGAAGCCAGCCCAGTGAGGGCCCTGCAATGGCTGAATAATCCTGGCAGCCCAACAGGGAGCCGGCAATACTCTGGACATTATGGGGACCCCGCACCGGCTCAATTTACTGCAACAAACCCCGAGATGCACTGGGCCCAGTTACTTGCGCCCGTCCCTTCCTCCTTTTTCCCATCCCTGGGGCCTGAGCTTACCCAGCCAGGCCCCCAAACAGGAACTTGACCGACTTAGGGGAGGTACGGGGCTTCCCGTCCATCCGGCCAGCCCCGGGACTCGCCGTCGCCGCCATCGCCCCTTGATGGCCCTCGGCTTTGGGTCCCGTGCACGCAAAGCCCCGCTCGCGCCCAAGGTGACACCAGCGCGCAACAGGGCGAGGGCACGCGCGCGCACGCCCCTCCGACAGGCAAGTCTGGCTTGAGCTAGAATCTGGGAGGGGGGGGGACGCAGGCGCGCAGCGCAAAGGCGGCCGGGAATGAGGCGGGGCTAGTATACGTAAGCGAAGGGGCGTGGCTGATTTAGGAAGCCTCTCTGTAGCCCCCGCCCTTCCCGAATTGGAATCGCGGGAAACTAGTGTTTGAAAATCTCGCGAGAACAAATGAGGCAGTCGAGTTAGGGCCAGCAATTCTCTCGCGATAAATTTCAGCTTAGAGATGGGGTGATGGTGGTG